ATTTTTCATAAATCTCTTACTACCTTTTTATACACACCATTAAATTGCAAAGGTTTCAGTTCATTACAGAGCATACATTTAAACTATAATTGGTATAGTTTGTGAACCACTACGCTATTTTGCTAAGTTCAATAAACGAAACAAGAACATACATTTAAACTATAATAGGTATAGTTTGGGAATCACTAAACTATTTTACAAGTTCAAGAATACAATATAGAAACATGTATATAAACTATAATAGGTGTAGTTTATGGAACACTACTCTATTTCACTATTTCAAGAGATACACTACTAAATAATTATTTAAATATACTTATTTACATTACAAAGTACACTACTACAAAGAAATTCATACAGATTCAAGTACAAGAGAACACTATAACACTACACATAAACTAGTTAATACAGGGTTGTGAGGCACTACTTCATTATACTCATCAGAGTACATGTTCAAGTCCTATAAATTATAAACAGAGTCTCCTGGAGGGAGAGCACGAATTTGTGTGTAGATCTATACGGGACTGATAATCCCGCACCTAAGCTGCTTGCAACAGCTAGGCTGGCAGGCCTAGCGGGACAAATGTCATAACATTCTGACGCCTGAAGAACGTCGTAGAGGCCACTAATCATTTTAGCATGGTTATATGAAAACTTATAATAGTATCAACTAAAACATTGTTTACAGGATTAACACTACTTTAATGGTTTTATTTTAAAAAATGAAACTACACTACACTATTTTATACTACAGCTGGTGGGTTCCAGGCATTCATACAAAAGGTTTTCGTACATATACTACTACGATACACTACTTCCTTAGTACAGAGTACACTAGTAAAACATACAATTTAGGGAAACATTCTTGATATGGTTTTATTCATTAATAAGACTACAGGAAACTATTACAGAGTATAATAACAAACATACATTTTGGTCTTAAGGCCTAAGACCACATTTCATTTACTAAAGAAAATATTAAATTTTCTGGAGGAGCATACTAACATTTTTCAAAGAACAAAGACAAGCTTTCCATCACAAAAACATACTTATGAACTCACCAAATTAAATGTTGATACATTTTCAAAATCACTTGTATTATGAGGAAACCAGTAGAAAGGTACACTACAGGTTTTTGAGAAGATGGAGCATTCATGGTGTCTTGTCTATAGTTTTTGCTGTACAATTTGGTGTTATACAAACAATGTTGCAAACACAATGTAAACACTATATTATCAATGTAGTGGTTGTTGTTACTTTGATTACTATTATTCAATTCTTGTGATGTTGTATATGACGTCCAATGCCCCCGAACATTTCCGCCGTTTCGGTTTGGGGGTGTGACAGATTGGTATCAGAGCATTGTTTATAGTGAACTAAGTATATCAAATCTTACAAGATATACAACTATAAATACAATGGGGCCAAAGTGTTCTGACTAAAAGTATACTTTTAAAATATAAGTATTTTATAAGAAGTATATGAACATGCATACATACCAGAAAAGGTATCAAAGTAAGAAACTACATAAAAGTATTTGGATGAGTTGGACACTACGGTTAAACCTGGACAATTATGTAATCATATCTTGGATAAATATAGCCTGATCAACTATATTTATTTGAGATACGACCAACATGTGTTTAGGACTGATTGTGGTGTTGCAACAAGTTTGGAATTTACTAGCTCTATACAAAGGAACAATAGAGTCAAACACGCGAAAATGAAGAACCCTTGCTGATAGATCTATAATTGCTAAGTGTATACATATAAATTATATATAATTAAGATTTAATAGACCTAGTATAGGTGATTTAGCTTTACTTCCTGTTCCTTATTTGGTTGTGGACTTAGAGAAGGATCACTTATGCGAAGGCCTATTTAGTCTTAGTTATATATAATTTGTATATACTATGTAATTATAGGGCGGTCAGGCACGAATCACACTATACAAATTCAGTTCAAGTGTTGCTATAAATTTCAGGAAATAAAATTTGCGATTGTTTACTTATATTAGTAGACTTCCAGTGTAAATCGCTTAATAGAACACTATAGCTATCAGGACAAGATATACCATGTTCAATATCACCTGACTCATGACCACTATAGAGGACTTATCATCATCTTCTCTTAAATAATTATAGAGAAAGATGCCTCCAAAGAAGTCCAATAGGAAGAAAAAAACACACCAACAAATCCACCACCATCACCACCTCCTCAGTATGACCGTGCTGTGTTCCAAGCAACAGTAATCGCCACTGTAGCTGCAACCATGATGAAGATCAATGCAAGTGGCACTAGTGGAGTGGGTAGTGGTGCCAATCCTTCTAACCACGGAGATAGTCATGGACACCCGAGGGAGTGTTCCTATAAGGACTTCATGAACGCTAAACCTAGATCTTTTGATGGCACCGAAGGTGTCATTGTTTTAACAAATTGAATAAATATTTGAAATCTGTGCGTGCCCGAAACTAGCAAAGTGAAATTTGCAGCATGCACTTTCATAGACAGATCCCTCTCTTGGTGGAACAACCAAGTAAAGTCGTTGACTCTCCGAATAGATAATGTCATGAGCTAGGATGACTTAAAGGAACTAATGCTAGCGGAATACTACCCGAGGGGTGAGGTGCAAAAGCCAGAGCAGGAGCTCTGGGGCCTGAAGATGAAGGACTCCGATATTGCTGCTTGTACTACCAGATTTAGTGACTTGGCTACTCTGTGCCTTGGGATGGTCACCCGGGAAAGCAAGAAAGTAGAAAGATACCTCTAGGGACCCTCTCCTCAGATCCAAGGGAATGTAATTGTTGCAAACCCACTTACTTTCGATAGCACAAAGCATCCGGCACAAACCCAAGTAGATCATCGGGTTTATCATGGATTTATGATAGCTGCCCCTGAGAAACCAAAAGAAAATGGTGGCAAGAAGAAAATTTTGAGTAAAAGAAAGGGACAGTTATCTCAAGAACCCTCAAAGAAACAACAAACTGTGGCAGTTCACACTGCTAATGTTCCTGCTACCGCTCCTACTGCTCAAGCACCACCCAGTCGATACGCTGGGAACCTCCCAAGGTGCAACAAATGCAGTTTCCATCATCACGAACCTTTATGGGAGTTGCAATTCACTAACTGCAACAGGAAGGGGCACACAACTCGTTTCTTTAAATCACTGGTAGAATCAAACACTAGACCCCCGGAACTAGAGTAAGCCAATCCTGCTATGGGTATGGTGAAATAGGGCACTATAAGAGGGCTTTCACAAAGACAAAAAATAGTGGTGGTGCAGGAAGAGTGCTGGCCATGAGATATGAGGAAGCAATAACGGATCCTATAGTGGTAACAGGTACATTTCTCCCCAATCACTATTATGCATGCATACTATTTGATAGTGGTGCAGAGAGTAGTTTCATAATCCATAAATTTCAACAACTCCTCAAATAAAAACCACAATATCTAAATGAAACATTCACCATCGAGATGGAAAACGGAAAGACAGAGAGCACTAACGACATATATGTAGGCTTCACTCTCACACTAAATGATAACTCTTTCCCAATTGACCTTATGCTGATCTCAATAAAAAGTTTCGACGTCATCATCGACATAGATTGGTTAAATCCTGACCGTGCCAATATTCTATGCTACGAGAAGGTCGTTTGCCTTAATATACCAAATGAAGAAACCCTTGTCATTTACGATGACAAACCCAGTACGGGCCTTCGCATCATCCCTTGCATGAAAGCCCAAACATATTTACGCAAGGAATACCACACATTCTTAGCACACGTTGTGGATGAAAAACAAGAAATAAAAGACCTTGAGAGCATTCCCGAAGTCTGGAATTTTCCTGAAGTCTTTCCCGAGGATCTCCCAGGAGTTCCTCCTGAACGCCAAGTCAAGTTCCGAATCGACTTAATTCCTGGAGCTACCCCCGAAGCCAAATCCTCGTATTGTCTAGCACCAGCAGAGATGAAGGAATTATCCAGCCAGCTAAACGAATTGCTCAGTAAGGGATTCATCAGATCAAGCTTCTCACCCTGGGGAGCACCGGCCTTGTTCGTGAAGAAGAAGGATGGATCTTTCCGAATGTGGATAGACTACCACGAACTAAACAAGCTTACCAAAAAAAAACCGATGCCCTCTACCGCGATTAGACGATCTATTCAACAAACTCCAAGGAGCGAGCTACTTTTCAATGATCGACCTGAGATCAGGGTACGACTAATTACGAGTCCAGGAGATTGATGTTCCCAAGACAATATTCCGGACTCGTTATGGTCACTACGAGTTTGTAGTGATGCCCTTCGGTCTAAAAAATGCACCCGCCATGTTCATGGACTGCTCATGGACTTAATGAATCAAGTCTATACATGAAGTTCTCAAAGTGTGAGTTTTCGACTAGGAAGGTAATTTTCCTCGGTCACGTGGTAAGCGAAGAAGGAATACACGTGGACCCCTCCAAAATTAAGGCAATAGAGAATTGGTCAGCACCACAAACACCCATAAACACTACTAGAAAAAAGGCCTTTTACGACGTGCAAAACACGACGCTCTTTGATTTATGTTACGCATTAGAGAGCGACATTAAAAAGTGTCATCTCTTCAAAAATTTTATGGATTTAGGTCGCGCATTACTGAGTGCCCTTAAATTAGTGTCTCATGTAAAAATATTAAAAACACGGAGGGCACCTATAATAAAACGGGCGTCCTCTACAAATTTCGCTTTATAATTTTAATAAACACGCGTTTCTGGGACTCCTTGTTAGGTAAGGGGGGAAACTAAATCCCCCAAACTTTTGAACACCCGCTTCCTCTTCCTCTCTACTCTTTACACCCGCCAAAATCGACTTCATTCTCTCCCTTCTTTCACTCTGCAAACCCCTTCCTCTCCGATCGACTTTCACTTCCTTCTATGTGCAAACCCTAATCAAACATAACACATTTGAAATAGTAATATCTTCTTTCACAAAATAGAAGATTGATCGAAGAATGATTTTCTTTTGATGAATTGGACATCACCAACAACAATAGCTTCCATCACAATTTGTGTTTGCTTTCAGACTCCACCATTACAACATCGCACCACAACACCAGCCCTGAGTCACCACCACATTGCCTTCGCAATAGCCCAGAACCACCACTATACCACCACTGTTGCCTATTTCATCTGCATAGTAGGCCTATTTCAAAGGTAATTCTTCCTTTTTCAACCATAGTTACCTGTTTCATGTCCTACTGGTCCTTCTTTTTGGACGATTTTTTGTGCCTTTTTACCCTCTCTCATATATTTTCATGGAATTGTTAATATTTTATGATATAAGTACCTGATTTTTTTTATGCACACTAGGTGTTTAACTAAATGTTTGAACCAAAAGGGGATTGTCCAAAGATTAATGAACAAGGTTCAAAGCAACCTGCCACAGTGACAAACTCACAGGTAAATAAAAATTTATGTATTCCTATTAGATTCAATTTACTATTATTATACATACACATGAGTAGTAATCAGCCAATTGTGTTTTGATAATGATAAAAAAATCAATTTAGTGTTTAGGAGTTGGAATTTAATTTATGTAATAGGAATTGAATCTCATTTACTTACAATTTCTAAAATGATTTGATTCCCTTTACTATCTCAATATGAGAATCCAGCAATACGGTCACAACTGTGATCTGTTACTGTAGAGTTGCTAACTAAAACCTGTGTCCAAACTCTAGAAGGTCACACAAACAATGTTTCTGCTGTATGTTTCCATCCCGAGCTTCCAATAATAATGACAGGTTCAGAAGATGGTACTGTCCATATATGGCATTCAACCACTTACAGGTGAGCTCTTGTTTTTTTTACCTTTAAGGGTGTGTTTGTTTTGTAGATTCTAAAAGAATTGGAATGCTAGATTCCATTCCATGGTGTGTTTGGTTTCCAAATGGATGGAATTCAATTTTTGTTGGATTCCTTCAAATTCCATGTTTGATGGATGGAAGGAATTCAATTTCTTTCTTCATTTCCTATCAAAAGACCAAAATACCCTCGTTATACATATGTTAAAAATGTAAACTTTTTGACTTTATGCCACTCTTTTTTTTATTCAGACTTGAGAACGCCTTGAACTATGGACTTGAAAGGGTTTGGGCTGTTGGATACATGAAAGGTTCACGTCGGTAAGTTTGTATAGCACTTTTTGTTTTTTGTTTTGTGGGTCTTGAATCTTGATGCTTCTTCATTCATCTGGATTTATTTTAATTACAGTTTTTACAGGATTGTTATTGGCTATGATGAAGGAACCATAATGGTGAAAATTGGACGTGAAGAGCCTGTAGCCAGCATGGACAATAGTGGAAAAATTATATGGGCTAAACATAATGAAATTCAAACTATTAACATCAAGAGTGTGGGAGCTGATCATGAGGTTTGGACTATAAAGCCCATATACATGTTATGTTATGTTAACAATGAAATGGGAAAAAAATCTATTTTTTATTCAGGTTTCTGATGGAGAGAGGCTGCCTTTAGCAGTTAAAGAACTGGGAACATGTGATCTTCATCCACAAGTGAGTTATGCTTGTTCCTACCTTCCTTTAAACTGAAAATAGTCAACCATATGGACTTTGACTTTTCTATTTTTCCACAGAGCTTGAAGCACAACCCAAATATGAGGTATGTTGTTGTCTGTGGTGATGGTGAATACATCATATAGACAACTTTGGCATGAAGTACTGGTTGGTAAAAAATTCGTGGGGTGCTAGAAAGTATCACCCGAAAAACGATGGGCCAAAGGTAATATCTTTTGTTATATTGACTATTTTGCCCTTATTGTTTTTTATGGATCTGATTTATTTTTTTTACAATTACAGGTTTCGTTTTTTAGTGATGATGAAGAGACTACCAGCACACCAAAAGCAGATGCTCTTTTTATTCCAAGGGAGAATCCAAGAGCTCTGGTTATTCGCCTTCTTAAACAATGGCCTGGCAAATCATCTGCTGAAAAATTAAAAAACGCATCTTCTCCAGCACAAACAAACGGTAAACTAATTTTCTGCTGCTACCTTAAAAATAAAAATAATCATTTTTTATCTCATTTTTTTTTAATTTGAATTCAGGTGATTACACTGGGTTTGCTTCTTCTCCTCCTTAAAATGGTCGGTCTACGGAAAACGGTAACAATAAGATCATTTCTTTTACAACGATTTGAATATTTGGAACTCAATTCCATACTAATATCAAAATCTTTGATTACAGGAAACCATTCTGAAAACAGAACCCTAAAGGAACAAACACCAATCAAAACCCCCCAAAAACAAAACGGAGGATGTGATGGTGGCAAGATGGAAGATGGCTTTGAGTTTATCGTTAAAAACAAAGGCATCAACACTGAGGTAGCTTACCCATATTAGGCAACAGATGGAACCTGCAACACCAAGGAAGAAGCTATCCATGCTGCCACCATTACTAGGTATGAAAAAGTGCCAGCCAACAGTGAATCCGCATTGTTACAGGCAGTCGCTAATCAACCCGTATCAGTTGCCATGATGCCAGTGGCATGGGTTTCCCGTTCTATTCAGGTGGCGTGTTTACTGGGGATTTTGGAACTGATCTTGATCATGGTGTTACAAGCTTGTTGAATCAAATGGAGTTATATGTGGTTGTGTATATACTTACAATCTTAGGCTTGGATAGTCTACAAGGAATCATGCTGGATCAAGGCAGCTGTATTGATACCTGTTGTACTTTTTGCAGGAAGGTAATTAAACTTTATTATTATTATTATTACTATTAATTACAAGTGTAACATGTTTTAAGTAAATTTTCATTCCTTCTACAGCCCTATTACAAATGATACGTGGCTCTGCAGTTCTTTAAGTTGTCACCAGAAGAATCATCAAAGGATCCATTATATCTTTTGAGGGACATGTCCAATAACGATAACAAAAACTAAAATCAAGTAAAAATGTTTGCTAAAATGCTTGTAATTTTATTATATATTTGGCTTATATAGGGATGCCATGGGATACAAAAGGGGACATTTTGTTTTAATTGCAAAAATAATCATTTCTGCACTAGGCTACTTGATGCTGGGAACTTTTATTTATGTGCTTATCGTTGATGGATCTACATTCAATGCCAATGTATTATCAAGGTACCATTTAAAATTTCCCTTTTATTTAATTTATGTAAAAAGTGTAATTGTAAATGCTCATACATAGTTGTAAATGCTCACAGGTGCATGATAGCAACAACAACCGATTTCTATTTTTGTATTGTCATTGTAGCAGTAAGTCTTTGTTTATTATATACTTTCCAACTATAGTGAAAAGGAGATTTTTCGACTTTTGTTATAACAATAATGTTTGATTGCTTCTTTTGATCAGGTGTGGATTGCATATAAGGAATCAAGGTGGATAAGTGCTTTCTTTTGGATACTTTCACTTCTATCTTTTTGGAGGGTAAGCATATATAGAAACTAGCTCACTTTCCTTTTTTCACTCTCTTAAGTATATAACTATATATGGGATGCTGTTTGGATTTACAACTGAAGGAATCATGGTATATTTCCACGACCCTTAAATCATTTACATTATCTTATTTTCTCAAAATATTAATTGTTTATGTTGCTTCCAAATACAAGGTATGAAAAGCTGCAACGGTGGGATGATGCCCTTAAAGCATACACTACAAAATCTGCTCAAGCAACAAGTCAACGTCTTATCTTGGATGCTACACTAGGTATTATTCAAATATACCATGCCATGGTGTTATAGTATTTATATTATTATCATTTCAAGGTAATTAATTAAAATATTTGTTCATTCTTATGACGAATGAGGAGTCAGTGACAGATGGGTATATATTATATAATCAAAACACTATAATTATAAATATTTATTTTTTTACTATAAATAAATTATTTGAGTTAAAATGGCATGAATGATTTCAGGTAAATGGGGATGGTAATTCTGAAAATGGCTCCCATATATGTGAACAATATCCATTTTCAGTAAATGAGAAGGTTGTTATTTTTATTTATTTCACTTTTGTTTTCTATGTGAAGATATACTGACAAAAAATACATTACATGACATGATATGTTGGTTGAGTAGCTTTACGTGTTCTAATGGGTGGTGTTAGATGGAATTGTGATGATATACTCTCTAGTTTATATGATCAAAGATTGTCATTGTGAATATCATTGTTGATAGCTTTACAGATAATATTTACCATTTGTATGCGGGTATTCTTGTCATTGTGTTTGTCATTGTTGATATTAGGTAATTCATATTGTAGTGTATTTATTCCAAATCCCAAATTCTTTGGATGGAGAAAAGGGTAATTTCGTCTTTTACAACTAACATTCCAAGTTTGATTCTTCTAATAATTGTATTAACATATTAATTTTTTGACTTTTATTTGATCAGGTCACAAGAATTATCGGAGCAGGGGTTCAATATTAGTCTTAAAGAAGTATGAAAGGCAAGATTCAACTCTACTTAGTTGGAATTTGATGTTTATCATCTTTGTGTATATCTTTTTAGTTTGTATAGCATTACATTGCATAAGGTGTCCCTTAATAGCAATTTAGTATTATGTTATATATTTAGGGAAAACCTCTTAATAACAATGTACAATTAGATCCCCTTAATATAAATGTATTACAATTTTTTAACATGATGTTTTTGGTATATATTTGTTTACATATGGAACGATTATTTGTATGACATTAAATTTATGCAATGGATTCTATTTTTGTATATGATATTTTATTATCTATTATTAAACATTAAATACAAATTTAATTTGAAAATAAGCAAATCTATAAATAATTTTTTTTTAAACATTTAAAATTATGATACGCAAAAATGTGTGTCATCTTCATTTATGACATGGCCTTTCTTGACAGGGGCTTCATTGATACGCATTGCGTGTCATAAACACGCGCGTCATAAGGTTACGACACACAAATGCGTGTCGTCTTCCTTTATGACAGGGCCTTCCTTGATACGCATTGCGTGTCATAACCGCGCGTCGTAAATGCGCGTCCTAAATGCACGTCGTCTCTCTTTATGACAGGGCCTTCCTTGACACGCATTTGCGCGTCGTCTGAGCGTTTTACGACGCGCAATGAGCGTCATAAAAGGCCTTTTTTCTAGTAGTGAAAGATCCATCAATTCTTGGGTCTTGCTGGCTACTATCGCAGGTTCATATAGAACTTCTCCAGAATCGTTAAGCCACTTACTACCCCAACTCAAAACAGGGTAATCTTTAGCTGGGGAGAAAAATAAAATACTGCGTTCCAAATATTGAAGTAAGCCTTATGTAGTGCATGCACCTATCTTATCCCTTCCCGAAGAGAGAAAGGATTTTGTTGTATACTACGATGCATCCAATTAGGGGCTAGTCTGTGTGCTTATGTAGTGAGGAAAGGTTATTGCCTATGCCTCGATACAACTAAAGACACACAAGGTCAACTACACCACTCATGATCTTGAGTTAGGAGTAGTAGTATTTTCTTTGAAGATCTAGAGGCATTACCTCTACAGTACAAAGTGCACCATCTTCACTGACCACAAAATTCATCAGCACATACTGGACCAAAAGGAGCTTAACATGACACAGCGATGATGGGTAGAACTAGTTAATGACTACGTACAAATGCGAGATTCGTTATCATCCCAGCAAATCCAATGTAATTGTAGATGCCCTCCATCGGAGACTGAAAGCATCAACTATGACCATCCATTCACATTTGTCCACACAAATCAAGGAGGCTTAGCTGGAAGCCTTAAAACTGGAAATGTGGCGGGTGAATCCTTAAGAGGATTGGAGAATAACTTAGAGATCAAGGGAGACAGACTCCGTTATTTCATAAACAAGATCAGGGCCCCCAATGTTTGGTGGTTATAGGGATGTGTCATGAATGAAGCACACAAGACTCTATACTCCGTTCACCCAGGTTCAGACAAAATTTATCTGGACCTCAAGAAACTTTATTGGTGGCTGAACATGAAAGTAGAGATTGCTACCTACGTAGGAAAGTGCCTAACCAGTGCCAAAGTCAAGGTAGAATATCGAAAGCCCTCAAGTTTACCACAACAACCAGAAATACCTGAGTGGAATTGGGAGCAGATTACAATGCATTTCATTACCAAGTTACCCAAGACAACGGGTGGTCATGACACCATTTGGGTAATCGTTGACATGTTAACCAAGTCTGCACACTTCCTACCAATCAAATAAACAGACAAGATGTAGAAACTGACAAGAACTTACATTAGAGAAATAGTACGATTACATGGTGTACCAATATCTATTATTTATGATAGAGACAGTAGATTCATCTCAAGATTCTGGCAGTCACTTCAGAAAGCTCTGGGATCTAGGTAGGACATTAGTATAGCCTACCACCCACAAACAGACGGGTAGAGTGAGAGAACCATTCAAACATTAGAAGACATGCTAAGAGCGTGTGTGATAGACTTTGGTAAAGCATGGGATATCCATTTTCCACTTGTCGAGTTTTCATATAACAACAACTATCACACTAGCATCAAGGCTGCTCCATTTGAAGCCTTCTATCGCCGCAAGTGCATATCCCCTATGTGTTGGGTTGAGGTGGGTGCCATGCAGTTACCTAAAGGGAAAATTCCTAAAAACACTCTCACCGACCCGTAGATCATCAGGGAAACGACAGAGAAGATCGTTCAAATCCAAGGACGAGTTAAAGCCTCTAGAGATAGACAAGAGAGCTACGCAGACAAGAGGCGAAAACCCTTGGAATTTCTGGTTGGTGACTGATTTTTATTGAAGGTCTCACCTATGAAGGGGATGATACTCTTCGGAAAGCGTGGAAAACAAAATCCAAGGTACATCGGGCCATTCGAGATTCTTGCTAGAATCTGCCTAGTAGTTTACAAACTTCGTCTACCACAAGAACTTAATGATGTACACCCTATCTTCCATGTGTCAAACCTAAAGAAGTGTCTATCTGACGAGAATCTTGTGATTACACTCGATGAAATTGAGATAAATGAGAGTCTTGAATTCGTGGAAGAACCAGTAGAAATCATGTATACGAAAGTCAAACGAAAGAAACAAAGTTGCATACCAATAGTGAACGTTCACTGGAACGCCAAGCGGGGACCTAAATTCACTTAGGAGCAAGAAGATCAGATGCCACAAAAGTACCCGCATCTTTTCCCTAGTCCATGATATACTCACTATAGAAAGAATTTTGGGACGAAATTCCCACTAACGGGGGGATAATGTAACTACCCATCATTTTCAAGTCAAACTTGTTCAAGAAAAGTCAAAACCCTAACCTTGTACAAGTGAAAACACATCTCAATCCTTATTGCATTGTACTCTCTATATCCTTAAGGGCATATTTATAACCTAGTAACTAAGTATCGCTTTAAATATAACTTAATTTAAGCTAATTTATGTTAGTATAAATTAATATAAGTCAAAAGTTAAAGTCTAAACTATTAATACATACCTTAAATAAAGGTTTTCAACCAAGAATTCAAGAGGAAAAGGAGTTTTCGGACCAAGCAACCATGAAACATGTAGTTTTCGGTTTAGAATAACTTCAAAAAGGGGTTTACAGTTTGGAATAACTGGAATGGTTTTAATTTAAATAATGAAACTGCATTACACTATTTTACACTATAGCTGGTGGGTTCCAGTCATTCATACAAAAGGTTTTCATACAAATACTACTACGATATAATACTTCCTTAGTACAGAGTAAACTAGTACAACATACAATTTCACATTCCTGATATGGTTTTATTCATTAATAAGACTACAATATACTATTACAGAGTACAGTAACAGACATACATTTTGGTCTTAAGGCCTAAGACCACATTTCATTTACTAAAGAAGATATTGGATTTTCTAGAGGAATATAGTAACATTTTTCAAATAACAAAGACAAGCTTTCCATCATAAAAACATACTTATGAACTCACCTACATAAATGTCGATACACTTTCAAAATAACTTGTATTCTCAGGGAACCAGTAGACAAGTACACTATAGGTTTTTGAGAAGACAGAACATTCATGGTGTCTCATCTATAGTTTTTTTTATACATTTTGGTACTATACAAACAATGTTGCAAATACAATTTGTACACTATATTATCAATGCAATGGTTGTTGTTACTTTGATTAATATTATTCAATTGTTGGGATACTACACATGACATCCTCCACCCCCGAACGTTTCCATCATTCTGTTTTGGGGGTGTGACACTCTCCCTCGCTTGGGATTAACTAGACTCTGGTGAATTCATAACCATTTAAAAATACGGATCAATCCACACAACAACAAGAAATCCAACCATGAATAATCATTTTATACAGATCCGGAGTCGATTTATAAAAAATATCAGTCAACAGATCATCAAGTATTACCATAAAATAATTAACATAAACGGAAGAGCATTGATGATGTCGACGGATGCTGCACTCGACCGAACAGAAGAAACCAATAACTCAGATGTCGGACCTTGGGACTCCAGTTGTCCCATTTCATTCATTTGGTAACTACCAAGATAAAGGTTTTGGATCAAAAACCATCACATTCACACTCTTTAGACAATCAACTTTAACATAGCCGAATTGACTGTAAAAGAAACATGCCATTGGCTCCCTCTGACTACTGTGTCGAATTTATTGGCCCTCCTGAATGCATCTGAAACACCCACTAGCTCTTAACAAATACTACAATGTGCCAAACCATACCTGCCATAAATCTATCAATCCCTTGATCTCATGATTAAACGAAAGTCACTCTGGTCTAGTTGATTATTGATACTGATGCGCGAGCCTAATCATGCTTCCGCTTCTGTTGTTGGGTCACCAACTCCAACACTCTGTCCCTAGCTACCTCTACTAAATCTGAAAGAGTATCACAATTGTAAATGTTCATGAACTCGTGGATCTATGACCCCAACATATCATGGTAGCGAGTTATCATCATCTACCCTATCACCACATACTATAGACAAGGCAACACACTCTCTTTGAACATGGCAATGATCTCGGCCAACATCTCTATTGTCTGTTCAAATTCCAAATACTATCAAGCCAACTACAGAACCTTAAATGCCAATACAAACTCTTTTCTTGAATCTGGTAACAAAATCCTCTTAGGTCATAGATTTGACCAGGACAGGTTTGAGGCCCTGAACAACCTTGCCCTATAATCCCTTGCTTCATCACGCGCCAGACATGTTGCAAACCTAACATTGCCTCTACCGGAAAAAATTTAGCGAGAAAGGCACTCTCCACATCAACGATACTAACAATAATCTCCTTCATCCCCATGGACCGAGAACTCCCAAAAGCACTAAAATCCTTGAAGGTGACCTCTCGAGCCCATGTCTAACTAGCTTCCAATTCAACCCACAAAAACCTAAAGCGCTCATCCATCCGTGAAATCCACTCATCCCTGACTGTGCT